AAAAAAAAAAAAAAAAAAAAAAAAAAAAAAAAAAAGATCAACGAATAAAAAATTTGCTCGACGATGGTTACTCTGGCGTAGTCTTGGCCGAAGAGTGTTTTAGGGATCATCGCAGCAGTCTGGGTGGTTGTATAAATGCTTAGCTGCGTAGAGGCAATAACGTGATTATGTTGTAAATTTTATTGTGTCCCCTCCTCATGTACGTCTCACTGGTGCAGGTGAAACCATATTTGCGTACACCCACTTGGACACATGCACAAGGGAAGAAAACGGGAAGTGTGCTCTACCTCTGATTGAAGTGTACGCCCCCTCCAACACACACACACACACACGTCAAGGCAAAATGAGGATTAGAAAGTACCATTACGCCTTCGTTTGCCTCCTCATCTCTGGCATGGTTAAGCGTATGCCTTTTGAATACAGAAGACACTCCATGTGTGACGTAACGGTGAGGAGAAAATATAAGACGGTGCGTGATGAATGTGGAGAGGGAAGAGCGAGTCTAATTTGCTTCCAAGGCAGGGTTCTGCGTGGGGTGTCTAATGAAGTGTTCAAGGGGGGGGGATTTCAAACGGGGGTCGGGTCTTCTTCGCAACCCTCTTCGCCGCGTTCCCCCCCACAAGAGGATCAGCTTCCTCGAGATGACCCACAGGACTTGAACGAAATACTAACCAAACTGGGGAAAAAAAAAATGATAATAAAATTTAAGAAAGAGGAAAACACATCACAGTCTACTCTGATTCAACAGAACATGGTGAAGCTTCTCGGTTCCTGTGGGAGAGTGAAGAAGCTGAGTCACATCGACCTGTACTTGTATGAGGCCTTTTCAAACATCAACGAGGGAGCGCTAAAGAATTGCCTGCAGGTGTTCACCAGTGGTGGCGTATTCGTGGAGCAGGACTTTAAGATACATCCCGTGAAGGGGGGGGTTGGCTGCATGAGCGGCGAGGTCTCTATTAGGAGCGAAGACAACCTACGTAGCCCCCCTGGCAGGGATGGCACCTTTGAGCTGAACAACCAAATGACTTTTAAACATTTTTTGAGTAGACTTCAAAGCGATTGTAAAGGGACGAACATCATTAAGGGGTATGAGCAGACGAAGATGAAGGAGGGCACGGAGTTGTCGGAGCCTCACCAACAGAACGAAGTTAACGTGTGCATTGTGGATACAGGGGTTGATTATAACCACCGCGATTTGCAGGGCAACGTGGTGCATGTGCTGGACGGAACAGATGAAACCGGTCATGATGATGAGGGGGATGAACACAACGACGGTGATCGAGGGGACAACCACGGGCATGGGACCTTCATAGCGGGCATCATCACGGGCCACGCACAGAGAGGCAACAGAGGGATTAAAGGTATTTGCAGGAGAGCTAAATTAACCATATGCAAAGCGCTCAACAGTAACAATGCGGGGTTTGTGAGTGACATTTTAAAATGTGTTAACTTTTGTGCTTCCAAAGAAGCAAAAATTATTAACGCCAGTTTTGCTAGTACCAAGAATTACATATCTTTATTTGAAGCTCTGAAGACCCTAGAGGAAAAAAAGATTCTCGTCGTTTCATCCTCCGGCAACTGTTGCCCCACAGATGAAACAAAGAACGCGTTTCCTGAGTGTAACCTAGACATGATGAAGGTGTACCCGACGGCTTACTCGGTGCAGTTACGTAACCTCATCACTGTTTCAAATATGATTCAGAAGGAGAATGGAGAACTTACTTTATCACCAGACACTTGCTACAGTGCTAATTATGTTCATCTGGCTGCCCCTGGTTATAATATCATTTCTACCTTTCCTAGGAACAAATATGCCATTAGCAGTGGTTCGTCTTTTTCTGCTGCTGTGGTTACTGGTTTGGCTGCCCTGGTGTGGTCCATTAACTCTCGTTTGAGCTTCGAGGAGGTGATTGACCTTCTCCGGGGCTCCATCGTACAAACGGAGTCCCTTCGGAGTAAGGTGAAGTGGGGGGGCTTTGTGGATGTGCACCACTTGGTTAGCGCAACCATAGCGCTTTCGCAAGGGGGGGCGGCAGCAGCAGCCAGGGGGTGATGTCCACTAGGGTTTCCCACTCGGTCGTCCATTTGGCCTCCTTTTTTTTTTTTTTTTTTTTTTTTCGTCTTTTTTCGTCTTTTTTCGTCTTTTTTTGTTGTGCTGATTTTTTTCGTCTTTTTTCGTCTTTTTTTGTTGTGCTGATTTTTTTTGTTGTTTTCGTCTGGGCCGAGTTCCCTTAGAGGGGCAGCGCGTTTGCAGTGAGCCAAAGGGAGTTTCCTCGCTGGCCGCTCCACAAGTAGTATATGTGGCCCACGTATACTCAGCTGCAATATTTGTGGTGCAAAAATGTGTTTCCTTTACCGAGTTAACCAAGTAGGTGACAAAAACACATCACCTGACAGATCGGATGACTCTTCCCCGCATATGTAAAAATGTTTGTTATAAAAAAAAAAAAAAAAAAACACCTATTGCTGCTTTTACTTTATCATTTATTTAATCCGTTTTTTTTTTTTTTTTTACTTATCCTACACGTGTAGGAAATTCGCGCATGGGAGATACGTACATAAGCGCATTTTCCCCTGTTGGCGGCGCGCCATTTTTGCGGCATTTTTTGCCCCTGCTTTTAAGGGGAGAAATTGGGGATATAGGGAAAAAAAAAAAAAAGAGTGCTAACATGTTGGTAGCGCCTTCAAAAAAAAAAAAAAAAAATAAATAATAATAAAATTGCCCCCATAGGTGCAGCTAATCCCCTTAAAGAACTAAAAAAACAATGGATAAAGGGACAAATGCTTGGGATAAACATGGCCCTACCATGGGGCACTGATTGCACTGCTGTTTGTGTCGCGCCTTCTGTTTCTACCGCTTAACAAATGGGTGCAAATAAAAAAAAGGGTGGTATCCCTCAGTTGCGCGTGTTCCCTTGTGCCTCCGCTTCGGTGCTTCTCCCAAATGCCGTGGTTCACGCAGTCGATTTTGCAGAAAAAAAAACAAAAAAAGGGCAAAGGGAAAGGGCTCAGTGGGGGTAACGCAGAAGGAATACATGAACACGCGGGTGCCTGACTTTTTGTGAATGCTCTTCCCGCATACGTGTAGAAGGGGCGACCGCAAAGGTGCGCGCGCGTATGGTTAAACCAAATAACGCAATGCACGCCGAGCACAACACAAATGTAGTCGTTAAACACTTGCGGCCTTTTTGCGCGTCACCATTTTTTTTATGTATTCCCTCCTTTCCCCGTCGTGCGACCCTTTTTATGAAGGCATATAAAAAAACTGCATACACAAGGGGAAAAAAAAAAAAAGAGAAAAAAAAGCAGCGCTTCTTTTTTGTAAACCCTGCAAAACAGCTAAATTACTTTATAATATATATATATGTACATATTTTTTTTTTTTTTTTTTTTTCTTT